TGGTTCAAAATTGGGAAAGGATTACGACAAGGCTGTATATTGTCTCCCTGCTTATTTAATTTATATGCAGAATACCTGATGCGAAAGGCAGGACTGGAGGAATCCCAAGAAGGGGATGACAGAGGACGAGATGGTTGGACAGTGTCACCTAAGCGACCAACATGAATTTGACCAAACCCCGGGAGGCAGTGGAAGACAGGAGGGCTTGGCGTGCTCTGGTCCATGGGGTCACGAAGAGTCGGACACTACTTAAAGACTAAACAACAACAAATGTTAAAATGTGCTGCTGATATACCACTCCATAGGGTTGAAAGATGTCTCTGGGCAGTTAAACTTGGCAGACTACAGATTGCCACCCCCCCAGTGAGCTCAAATTTACTGACCTTGGAAGAATGGAAGGCTACATGAACCTTAAGCCAGCTACCTGGGAATGAACCCGGGTCATTAGCAGAGTTTCGGCTGCAGTATTGCAGTGTAACCACTGCACCACGAGCCTCCTCATTTGTCTTCCATCAATCTTCTGAATCTCATAAATATTTGCTGTTTATTTGCATATTACATTGGCTACATGAAAGCCAGCTACCTGGGAATGAACCCGGGTCATTAGCAGAGTTTCGGCTACAGTGTAACCACTGCACCACGAACCTCCTCAATTGCCTTTCATCAGTCTTCTGGATCTCATATCATAGTGCTGTTTATTTGCATATTACATTGCTATCCTATCTTTCCTTGAATTAGCTTAACAGGACGCGAGTGCCTCTCCTCATCCAGGGCTTCGCCCATGGATTTTTTTTTAAAGCCAAACGGTGTACATGATACTGGCTCCTAAAGCCATTTTTAAGGCATATGAGCAACATACACAGAACATTGGAACATTTGAGACTTGTGCTAGAGTGCTTAAATTGCAGTATTACAGTCAAGCCAGATTCAGGTAGCCTTCCATCCTCCTGACATTGGTAAAATAACTATCCAGAGAGTGTTCTACTATGGGGTGATATATAATTCAAAACAACATTTGAGTGGTGGATTGTTAGAGAAGGTGGGATTCCCTTGATTGCTATTGGGTGACATTTTATCATGTGTAATAGCACATGCTGTGTTTGCTTTTAGTGCCTAGCCATTCCAGCCTTGGATAAAGATTTTTATGCTAGTTCTTTTTAAAAAGTGACACATTTGCCAAGATGGTTGTGGAATCTCCAGTTCTATTATTTTTATGGTTCATGAGTCATAGGAAGCAATATGAACTTAGTGGGATTTATCCATTGTGAGAGTATGCTAAACCTGAGAGTTCTGAAATAAATCAAATTATTTTCCTTTTTGAAGGTAAAGTAATTCATTTGGAACTTTATGAGATATGATGGTGATCAGATTTATCAACTCTGCCACAGTGCCAATCAAGCAACAAAGTCATTTTAGAAATGATACCATTTCTGCCCCACATGACCAGATCCTAACTTGTTTTTGTTTAATGTTCAGATACACTTTGATGTCGCAAATAGAGAGACTGGGGAAATAGTGGATAGATCTCTCCTCTTCAACGTTAAAATCAAGGATATAAATGATAATGCACCTGAGTTTCCCAAAAAGGAATATAATATCACTATGACAGAAAAACAGAGCAGAGGTAAGTTTCCTTAAGATTATGTGTTATAACAAATGCAAAGTGTTAGATCAGGCTAGTGTTTTCTCCTATGTGACTGATTTTTGTTTTGCATT